TCCTTTGATGTTTTAAAAAAATGCTACATGCCATGATTTCTTCCCATAAGCCAGGAAATTTGAAAACAGCCCCGTGATTGGCAAGCAGTTCAGATTGATAAAAAGCATAATCCTTGGGCACAGCATTAGGAACAGGGAGAAGAAATAAAGTTGAATGAAATGATACAAATTTGTACACTATATTTGATGCTTGCTTCTTTGTTACACACACTACCCTTACAGATATTTCTGAATAGGTTTTGCACACAGGAAGCATCAAGCTAGCATGTTAGTTTTATTTGGGTGTATAGAACATATCTTGAAATGGTTTGACCTTGCAGATGATAACAGGGAGAGCACATGAACCCTCTGCTGTGAATTTCTTGCATCTATTGCCATATTAGGAGATTGGAACCAAATGTTTTTCTGTGCTTCAGCTGTATGAAATGGAGGTCATCCAGCATTAACTTTGAGTCTCGGGACAAAATCCACTCATCATAAACACAAAAGTGAAGTTTATACTGATAAGTTACACTAATGATTGGGTAGGATTAAATATTTTAATACTGATTTATTAAAGGGAAATTTTTAAAAGACAATATGACACTGTGAATTCCCAACATTTGATTTATAGGGACTGGATCAAGTTTTTGTGTAAATACTAGCTTGTCAGGAACACAACAGGGAAAAAACAGATTTCCTTTCCTTCTTGGAAATCTACTGGAGATTCTATGAAGACAACATATGTTAAAATTTAATAGCTTCTGGCAATGTGTAGAAGTCTTGCAATATGCATTGTAGTAAATAGCAGAGCAATATAATATTTAGGCTGCCTCTTTCTCTCTCTTTTTCCTCTCTCTCATCAGCCAGTGCTATAACTAATCCCAAACAGGGATTTTCTTTCTCCACACTGCTCTAACTTCTTTCTCTTAGAATACATATTTTGAATAAAATGGTTAAAAGTAGATACATGGAAGTCCTATGCAAAGGCCTTTGGCTTCAGAACAGAGATTACAAAATGTGTCTCTGTGTATATATTAATTAGGAAAAGCAGCTTGCACTCTATAGGAGGGAGAGAAGCGGGCAGAGTCTTGCCCTTCCCAGTAGGTTCAAACAAAAATAAACTGCTGCAGCCTTTCATTACTTTTGTGTTCTTCCTCCTGCTCCATTTTTTCCAGGACCTTTAATAAAGTGAGGCAGTGCCATGCGTATTGTAATGATTAGAGCTGCTGACATATTCAGTCTTGTTTATTTCAGTAATTCATTTACTCTTAAAACCTGCCCTATACCAACATATCTTTGTTTCTAATCAACCCATATCAACATATCCATCTGTACATTCTTGGCACCAAGTATTCTTTGAATATAGCATGCTGCATTTTTTTTTCTATTTAAGATTTTTTTCTATTTAAAAATAAATGTATGAAGCATACAAACTGTACTAAACACACACACACACACACACACACAAACAAACAAAACCTTCAACCTATGTTAAAATAGTGTTGACCTTCATGGATGCCTCAGTTTTCTTCCAGTCTTATTCAAGAAATTTTTTGTAGGGTCAGTTGTGTTCATTTTAACTGGATTATACAGCTAGAAAGAAAATTGTATTCTCCCATAGTAAAATGGCATGAAGAAACATACCATACATTTGGCTTTTCTCTGGTCTCCTATTTTATCTCTTTCTCTCCTGAAAGGTAGATGCAATGGCTTGGTTTGGAATGATTTGGAGATCATACTTCTAAATGTTGCTGCTATTTTCTGATTACTTGCTGGATGGACAGTGGTCCCTATCAAGTCTTGAGCGTTTGTTCACATGGTCACCCATCTGAAACTTATCACCTCTTGAAGGGAATAAAGGGCATGTATCAAGCATGTAAAGCAGAGATAAGTCCTCCCCGTCATCTCTCACCAGTGGTTATGTTGGCTAGGGCTGATGGCAATTGCAAGCTGTTTAAAAACCTGCAGTTGTCATCTCCCATGTTTTGGGAAATTTGGGACAGCAGGAAGGGGCATTCTTGAATGTTTTGGCACCAGTTAAAAAATATTACAGCTCAGCTGTGTGTGAGTGCCTCCAGAAACTGAAGGGAGGAGTCCTAATATTTTTCCACACTATTTTTCAAAATACAGTCACCCCTCCGTTTTAGTGGATTTGAAATCTGCATCCCTTGCTTATGTGCGAGGGACAAATGGCGGGGCACAAAATGGGGTGCGTACCCGCTCGCCTCCATGGACACGCGCCTCCATTTAAGCCAGTAGGGCTTGAATATGCATGTTTTTCCTTTTTCGCAGGGGGTCCAGAATAGGTTCCCCGTGAAAAAGGAGGGGTGACTGTAAAAGCTCACTGCTTGAGTTTCTTGCTCTATCTTACACCTCTCTCTCTCTTTCTTTCCTTGGGGCACAGAAGGAAATGATACCCTTTCACCCAGATAAAGGTGCAGAGTACTAAAAGCAAGCAAGCTTCTTTTGGGACCTATCCTGGCATAAAAGTACAATGACAGAAAATTAATTGACAAAAATTGACTGCCCTTTTAGAATTCTGATGTTTAAAGGGCTACTGTTTGGGTGAGCCCTGCTCACAACAAATTTTAACAACCTCTTATACTGAAGATCAGCCATTTTCTAGTTATTCATGTTCAGTTCCCTCCAAAGAAGCTGAAGTCACACATATGCTGTTATTGGCTCTTCATCAGCTTTATAGCAATAGGAACAAATGAGTTCATGTCCTTAAATTTTCAGAACTGTGAAAGAACATTAAAGTCGTACATCAGGTAGTTCACAATGAAAACAATACTGAGTTTTTCTTACCCTAAACTAGGACAGGAAGGAGAGGGAAAAGACCCTTAACTTTTTTCCAAAAAAGGAACTTCCATGAATACCAGCTATGAATGGAAGATGGAGGTGAGATGGGGGCTGCAAACTACACTACTCTGCAGCTATGTGGTGTAAAGTGGGGTGGGCAAAGTGTGGCCTGCAAATTGCATGTAGCCCTCAAGGGCCAAAATGAAAATTTGTGAAATTTTTCAAAAATAATTCTTTGCTTCAAAATATCCCAGAGTGCCCTCTAGGGGCCCAGGTAGCCCAAAAAACATGCCCCATGTCCCACAGGGGCTAGTGTGTCCCTCTGAGTCTTCCACAATTGCCCACCCTGATGTAAAGTTACAATAGCCCCTTTACTGTCAAATGCCCCCAGGATTGGAAGGGCCAATCTCCATTCATGAAGGGATAGAAAGGAAATGACTTCTGGACCTTTCCCCTTCAGATGTCCCTCTGTTCAGTTGTTTTTGCCCTCACTAGTCATCTGGACTGTGTTCATCTTCTAAACATGGTCTCAGAGGTCTGTGGGGATTCCTGTAGTTGGATAGGGGCTTTGAAGGGGAAAAGCAATGGGCAGGAAATATTTTACGACTGTTCTTTCATTTCTGTCCCTTTCAAGTAAAGACCATTGTGTAAAATGGATGAGGCCATTTCATAGCAGGGCAGTGTCCTACTGGAACTTCAAATAATCTTTAAAGCAGAGTCAGGAATGATGAAGCCCTCTAGATGTTTTTGGACTGCAAGTACCAGCAGCTCTATAGTGAGGAATGTTGGGAGTTACAGTCCAACAACATCTTGAGGGTTGCATGATTCCCAGCCCTGTTTCAAAAGTATGAGATTAAATCGGATTCAATTGTTCTTGGTTATCTGTATGATGAACAGGAATTGTATATCCCTTCCCTGCCTCTATAAATATGGTAGAAGGTCCACGTATGGTGAGGAAGGGCACAGGGTAACCAGACATCCTCCTTTTCCAGGACATGCCCTACATTTCAACTTTCTGTCCAGGAGGAATTCAAAAATGTCCTCCATTTTAATCATGACTAAGGAGCATTTATTTATATTTATATTAATGTTTCTAGGTTCTATTTTGCAATATCCTCCATTTTTCTCAAATGTCCTACATTTTGTGGTGCCTTGTCCTCCTTTGCAATTATGACGTCTGGTCACCTTGAGAAGGGAGGGAACATGGAAAACAAATAGATCCATAGCTGGTCCTGCTTCTTCTGTACACAAAGCTATGTTGTCATCCCCACAAACTATCTATGGACGTTATCACACGGGGGCAAATCTGCTGGTTAATCCAC